GTGTGGACTAACTTACTGTGGGTTGAGGGTAAGACTGAATGACTATTTCTTAATGTGGTATTTATGGCGCTCTCAGTCGGGAGCCTACCTAGCAATGTGGTGTTGTTGTGGCACGTTTTGGAGCGTTAACTGCGCCAGCCACCTGCGCCCCCCCCCCCACCTCCATCTCCGGTCTCCTCGACGTCTGTCGGGACATCAGGATACAGATGTGGGAGTGGTTACAGAGTGGGGTAGATCCTGCGAGACTAATTTCACTGTAATCCAGCTGTAGTCACCGAGTATGCCTTCAGCTTGTTGGGGCTTGTGGTAGACATCCTCGTGCGTGAAGGTCGAACCATCAATTGTGCTAGCACGTAATTCCTAATGCCCCGGGCGAAGTATTCGTGCGTAACCATTCGGGCCACTGTAGAATTGTAATCTAAGTAGGAGAGCTGCATAGCCAGTGGCGATGATGCTGCTGTTGGTGTTGGCCACTTGGTGAATTTGGATTTGGTAGAGTCTGAGGTCTGATTGTTTGATCGATAGTACGGTTAATGTCGTAGGGGTCTATGTAGTGGGTCTGCCTAGATCACTACAATCATCAGGCCGAATGCCAGATTGGAAGTTAGAAGGTATGTGTCATCAGAATGAGGGATTTTTTGTTTACAGAACTCCCAATTGCAGTCTCAGGTGGCAGTGGCCACTGGCGAAGCCAGGACTGGTCCTGACTGCGTCTAGTCAGGCCTGAGAGTGAAGGCTCTGCTGTGTGGGGTGATGACGACTGCTTTTAGTAGGATTGCGGAGCAAGTTCAAGTGGTTTGCTATTGATGTGTTGCAAGTTGACCTAGGGGATGTCGCCTGCAAAGGTCTTTGCTGCATCGGCGAGCGGTGTCTTAGTCAAGTTGCACTTCGCAGGCGTGCTTATTTGGACGCACTTGTATACGCGGATTTGTGCATATGTATTTGCGTACGTAAATAAGTTGAGGTCAAATGTCGTGTCCGCAGGCACGCTGAAGAACAGGGGGCGTTGACGCAGCCGTTATCGTTTGGCCAGAGGTAGCTGCAAGGTCAAGCCTCGGAGGGCGGGGGCACCAGTGAAGGAAAAAATTGTAACAGTTGTTTGTGACGACACGACTTTGGGGCAGCGAGCCTTGGGCAA